GGGGGGGGGGGGGGGGGGTAATTATTTCTCGAACGTAACATCTTAATCGTGAGCGCGATTTGTGGTCGCGAGTGCGGCGTTGATCTTGAGCTTCTTCCAAAGCGACGTCGCGAGCGAACGGGCTCGCCCCAAAGGTGTCTTCGAAGGATCCTCGGCGCCATTCATTTCCGAAGGACCGGTCGCATTCCCGCGCTAAATCTTCGTCACTCGTTAAGGCGCGACGGAGTCCCTGAAGTAGTCGGCAGTTTCTTTCGGTGTTTCTTCGCTCGGCCGTTGCCCGGTGTCCGATGTGTTGGAGCCTTTTTCGGAAGGATCCTCTGGCGATTCGGGGCACGCGTGTTCACAGGCTCCTGTAAAACCACGGCACCCGCAGGATCTTCGGCAATCGCGCAAAGTCGAGAAATCCCGGCGTCAGTGTCCTCAAAGAGGATCAGGACGCCCCGTAGACGCAGGCCGAGTTATCCGGCGGACTGATCTTCTCCACGGGTAACACCGCCGCCCTGTGCCACTCGTCGCGTACCTGTTATCAGAAAAGACAATGATCGCACACGTGACGCGGCTACGGTAACGGGGAAACGGGCGCGATAAGATCCGCTCGGCTCGATATTACCGCTGGGACTTCCTCCCGAAAGATACCGAGATCAAGTTCTACGGAAAGGAAGTTACAAGTTGCAAACTCGACTTGTTACGCGCGTGACTACATCTACAGCAGGTTGCCCTGCAGAAAACCGTAGAGAGTAGAATTCGCGTCTTATCAGCCGCCAATGTGTGCACGTTAATAGCTGCGTCTGCGAAGCTTTTTTTATTATTTCCTTTAAAAAATTACGCGCTGCACACTCCTAGTATTGCTATATCTTTTGGAAATATTCCGAGTCGAGGAATCTTGGCTCTACTTTCTCAAGTTGAATCAATGAGACAGTATTTACTAATTTTTTAAGTACTCGAAGAGAAAAGATCGGTTGAAAACTTGACTTTGGACTGCGAACCTTATTTCGAATGTTTTTCTTCTTTTCTATTGGCTTTGTTGTACTGAGTAAAAAATGTAATTCTCTACCGATACAGAATATTATCATACGCGCAATATCAAATTTGATGGAATTTTCGGGATTGATTTACGGAGAGGAAGAAGATCGTTAGAATTAACGTGAAAGTAAACGAACCAACCGCGTTTTGGTTGAAGCGAACGGAATTTCTGCTTTTTATAATCGAATTTGGTTCATAATAATCAGAAATTTAATTTCCTTCCATCAAAACGCGTTTGATTCGTTCATTGTCACGTTAATTCAATCAAATTTTTTTCTCCGTGTACATTCTAAAAATTCCATCGAATTCGTTATTGTGTGTACAGCAATACTGTGCATCGGTAGAGAAATACATTTTTTATTCAGTATAACAAGACTAAATAGGAACGAAAACTCGACATGTTTGAGACAAGATTCGCAGTTTGAAACAAAAATCATCAGGGTCACACAACTACATATTTGTATATTTATTTCTTGGATTCTAAATTTGATTTCTGGTATTCTTGGAAAATTTATGTAGCGTTTGTTCAGATCGGAAACATTTTATGTAATAAATGATTTGGCACATCTAGAAATATATATGCCCACGTCTTGGCACTCTGCGTCCTCCAGTACTACCTTTCCAGCATCCTGCATATCCTGGCTGCTCCGTCGCTCCGGATACTCATTCGTGACGCTGACACTCGCGTAGATACGATTCGACCGGAGAAGCGCATTTTAAATAACGCAGCGTCGACGAGAGAACTAGATTGAATATTTCAAGAGTCGACGAAATTTTATTTTAATCAACCGACGGGAATTGTAATTGACGCATGGATACATGTACTCCACGATGGTACGCGTCACTCGTCGGCTAGTGACGTAACAGTAAATATTCGGTTATGGAAAATCTCGCGACGTGCGAGAAAGAGAATCGAAATAATCGACACAAAAAGGGATAAAGTCAAAGTCATCGCACGTCTATCATCAATTGTCATCTGGATTAGCTGCAGTGGAGATTTTATTAGTATATGTTATCTATTCTCAGGCTCCGTTAATTTCTCTTTTTGTTCTAACGATAAATTTTCAAAAGCGAGCAACGCCGAGTTCTAATGCGCTCAATTACCTTAGCGAACGCGTGACGACGAGTGATAAAACTTTCACAGCCGACCAATAGTGCCGATAAATTTAACGCGCGCGATTAATCGCGATCAGATATCCCGAATTACGGGGAACAACGTCGGAGCTCTCGCAATCGGGATTACGTGTTTTGTTTGAGCAACTAGAGCGCTCTCTGTTTACAACGTCGTAAATGAAATCGTAAAAATGGCAGTCTGTATCCGATTAAAAATAAATCGTGTCGCCGTACCTGCTCGACTTTCGCGAATACCCTTAATAAATTAAGGCCGGCCAATTTCTTGATGTCGTCTTCCGTCCAAGAAGGATCCTCCAATAGGGTAGCCAATAGTTGCGGATATCTCGAGACATCTTCCAAGCCGGTGGGGGTGCTGTGAAAGAGACGAGACTCACGGATGTCAAGCGTTCTTCTTGATTCGCTGATCTCGAGTCGACATTCAGAAAGAGACAAAGTTCGCATAATTATCATAGTGAGTATCGCGTATCGTTCGATGGATTATTTTGTGTTTTATTCAAGAGCGCTATAATATTGTGCGATGAACACAATTGAATTGATGAGCAATTAAATTAGTTATTCTCAAAATGGAGAAACACGGAGAAAATATTGTAATATAAATTATTGCAGGGGTTTGTAGTGTTGGAATATATTGGAATTATTATGTTGAAATGTATCGAGATTGCTATGTGTGTTGTGATTTTTAGTGATGTCTACACATGATATACATCATTGAAGATAACAAGGCACATAATAATTTCGATAATGGTTCCGGTATATTTCAGTGTTGCAGATTTTTGTGGTAATTTTTGCTGCAATATTTTCTTCTTCTGCACATTACATCTTTGTTCTACATAATTTTGTTAATCGCAAGCGTTATCGCGAACGCGGTTAAATTAGTCGCATGCGGCAGTGTCGTTTCTGAATGTACGTCTCGTGCGAAAACAGAGCACAGAGAGACAGTAAAGAATAATTACAAATTTATTCCGTCGAAACCCGCTCCGATCCCGACGTGATCGATCCCCGCCACCTTTCGAATGTGATTGATGTGTGCTGAAACAGTATGGGGCCGCGATTATTCCATCGTAGCGGTGGCGCCGAAATGGCAAGCATTTTATTATAAACGCATGCAAATTTATCGAACACTTGCGGGCCCAGACTAAAAAAGACGAAATCAGATATCTTCGTATTTCTCGTAAGAAACGGACGAATTGAAATGAATTTTCGAATTGTCGTAAGATTTCTTCTACGTAGAAGAAATTTCTGTCTCGCGTTTGCGAAATATTGGGTGAATATATTTCCCATATAGACTTTAAACGTAGAGTTTACAAGGACAGGTTTCGTGTCGTAAAATAACATAGTACGGTAATTGCGTCTGTCGCGTGCAATATCGATACGATATAATTCGCTTCCGCGCAGCGTGGCTTAAGGCGACATTGCGAATAGCGTTCTACGTACCAATAACGTCTTTTATGGTAGCGGTGCTGTTACACGTTATGAAGTAGGTATAAAAAGGGACCATCGCCACTCCGCCATTCTTAGCCTGCGAACAGATACATTAATGTCATGCACATCGCGAGCGTATTTCTTTCTATCCTTAAATGCGCGGCACGAACATACGTTGTAGCGATGTCACGCGTATGTGCAGTAAAGTCGCGGATGTTAATTACCTAACTGGCAGGGTGTTTCGCGAGAGTACACCGGTTGTTCGAGATCTTAATAGTTGCACCACCTCCCCGAAACGGGAGAGAATTTTCCCAGCGGATTAAACCCGCGAATTTTTCCTGCGGTTTAAAATTCGCGAATTTTTCTGCGGATTAAAGTCCGCGAAACGTCGCGCGGGGAGGAAGCGTGTGAATTATTAATTCAGGTTATCATCCACCCAAGTGGTTTTTCTCATTACGATTTAGCGAGAGATTATGCTACACGGGACATTATCTCGAAGAGACGCCGCGGAACAATTCAGAAACGCTAATCTCCGCTCGATCGAGCTCCCTTTTTATTGCCCGGCGGAAGCTATCGGTGAAACTATGCCAAGGGACACACATATACACACACATACAGTGCGCATAGATCGCCGTCTATTCGACACCTAACGTTGCTTAAACTACACGGGCAATGTTAATTAGAGCAGCAGGACGGTGTGGTTAATAACACGTTACCGGACAAGCCATCCGGCTTAGATCGCTGTTACTCGTCCTCTCGTTCTGCGGGTATAATTAAGGCAGTATTGATCGCGGCCGGGAAGAGAGTGAAGTTCGTAGGCGCGGAGATGTTACCCCGACTTCCCGAAGTCGGGGAAAACGCTGGTTAATTAATTAGTGACTGTCTTCTTTCGCGCGCTGGCGGCTGGTTACGGCGATCCTTCAACGCGTAACATCATCACCAGCGATGTTGCGATACCGAGAAAATATCGATACTAATATTGAAGCGGGTATCTAATCAAGAGTATCGACATCATTAGTGACACTAATGTTAGAAGAAAAATACCAATGCCGATATTGGCACCGAAACTTAAGAAAACTTAAAATTGTGTCCATGCGAAAGAAGACGGAAGGAGGGGGATTTCACATATCATGTAATCGTAGAAGGGGACAAATACTTTGTGACGAATTTTGACGAAGGAGAGGGAAGAGATAAAAATACACAAATTTATTGACACAATTGTTGAATGGTCCTTTAAAATTACCGCAAAATTAACAAAAATTATGAGAAAAGATCAATTTAAAACACAAGTCGCACGTTACACTAATTTACACGAAGCAAAAATACATACATGATATTTTGAAGATCGACTGAGTAAAAAATTAAAAAAAAATATCAAAACAAAGTAGTACTGATATAGACACGAATTTCGGAAGAAAATATCCATACAAAAATATCTGATATTGAAAGGGAAATATCGATATCAGTATTATATCAGCACACCTCTAATCATCACGCAAGTCAAGCGTGCGTTTCGCCGTTAGAGTGAACTCAAACGGAACGTTGTTTGTTTTTGTAATTTTTAATTAATTTCCCTTTCATCTCCGTTTCGCACGTTTTCGGTATGGATTATACCCGGGCGGCCCTGAGTTCAGACGCGATTCGTCCGAAAAGGGGAATCGATCAATAGCGGATTGCTCTCAGCGAAAAAGCGAATCACGTAACGAAATGAGCGAGACGATGAAATCGGTGTTACCGTGAAATTCGCATCGCGCGTCTTCTTCCACGATGAAATTCGAAGTGCGGAGCTAATCGGCAGTAAGTTGGATTTAATTTCGGCGAGCTAACCGCAAGTTAGTTCCGCGAGCTCATCGTCGGCTCGTCAATCGCTAATCGACGAGCGGCACCGCGCGAAAGGGATGAAATTTTAATGAAGCGTTGCGCGCGCTCATTTAAGTTCTCAGTCGGCCAACCGTTGCGCGATTAATGCGACGTCAATTATTGTACCGCGTTTGTGTTTCTCGCGTATTTGACGGTCGGCGGAAAAGAGAAAAATCGCGCGGTGGTCGCGCGTAACTCGCGAGAGAACGCGAGGAAGAATTAGCGCCAATTGGATCAACGCCAATCGCGCCGCTGCGCGCGGAATTATCGATAATAACGCGGATTAAACGCCGAACTTCTCTAACACACTCGCGCTATTTTGGCGCGTTGTTTCCGGGCGCCGCTCGAGAGATCGTTTTGACATATCTCCTCCTCTCCGAACTTCGCTCCGTCGATTGCGAATAGTTGGCGATTATCTCGTTGCTTACTCGAACTCGAACAATTTGCGCATCCACCGACACTTGGTGCGCGTTCTCTGGCACGGGGTGTTCTCCCTCCCCGCGTTCTTGCGCCACCCTACCACCGGCGCGCGTTTTACAACTTCGCGGATTGCAAAGCGCTCCGGCATCGCATTCGATTTGCCACAGGGCTGGCCTCGCCTGTATCCCGTACGGATTTAATTTCGACGTTACGCATCTCACTTTCAGATAGCGGATCTGTCGATAAAACGCACGTTTAATCATCCGTGCAGCGTGTATTTCTTTCGCTCGCGTCTCTTTTATTCTGCCTTTGCGCGAACTCGAACGATCGAATTCGAGCGAGAAATATAAAAGCCATTGGCATTTATTTACGTTTGCTCGTACGCTTATTACTTTTGTATCGATTAGATTTGCGTAAATTATAAGTCTCTATACAGGATGATATTTAAAAATTGATAACTCGAAATTTCGCTTGTTATTTGCAAAATGATAACAAAACTTTTTCGTTCACCTCGATCCGTTCTTCGGATCGTCCTCACGAAATTCATCCCTGTTGGTCTGGGACATCCTGTATTCCCTACGTTTTTCATTTTTATCGAAACGTAGTCTCCAATCGCCAAGTATAGAGACTTAACTCTCTAACCGGAACGTCCGTTTGTTACGCGGATAGAAGAAGTACGAGTAATATGGGACACCACGATTTCTAGCCTGTTAAAGTATCGCAACTTACCGATTCTAGTAAAATACAAATATTATTCAAAAATCGTTCCGATGAGTTCTATTCCCTTCCTCGAAAATATTATACTGTAAAAATCAATATTACATTAACATTACGTAACGAGAGTATCTCAGACGGGCATTCCGGGAAATCACTTGGGAAATCATGTTCAACGATTCAAGGGTTAATAACGATTTTGTTGCAATGTACATTTATACGATGTACAGATACATCATTTACATGGATTTTCTCAACATCTATCTGCTACATCTCGCGACGAGTCGACGCATAATAATTGCTAATATCGCGAGCGCACCCTCGCCAATATTGGACTTACTCCCTTCCGCCTCTCGCGTATGACACGAAATACCGCGATTCTGCGGCTGGCTGTCGCGCGCCAACGCTAAACCTCGCCGAATGCAGTCTCATCGACCTGACCCGTGCGGCTATGCACGTATGCCAACCCCCAAAATCAGATAATCTCGCTGTGGTTGAAACGTGCGGCGCGCGAATATAACAAAGGCTGCACCGGCCGGCAACTTTCGGACGCGCCTGTTTACATTTTCACGTTTTTCGCCGTAAACGCGTACGCGCGCGCTTTGATTTTTGTATCCATCGCGTTGTAACACGTAGCAGAAATATTCGTTCGCGCTCGTCCCCCTCCCCCTCTCAATCTCTCTCTGCGAACGCGCTCTGCGGAGCCGTGTGTTTTCTAATTGGTCGGTACGCGGTACCGAGAGAGAGGCCGGCGCGTATAAATAAATAAATAAATAAATCCGTCCGCGTAGTGCGCGTGCAGTCGACGTAACGCGCTTTTTCGCGACAGCCCATTCCATCCCGCGCGTTCATTCGCTCGCTCGCTCTCGCTGTTTCCGCGCGTCGGACGAGTCGATCCGAATAAATGTCAGATCCGGTGGAAATCACGAGACGTCGACTCGAATCGCGAGGCGCCCGTGACATCGGTAACAACGGAGTTGCCGAACCGCCTCGTTTTTTCTTCCTCTCTCGGACGATCGATCGCATTCCCCCACATCCCGCAGCGCCTACGATGGAGAACTCACCAGATTTCTGAGCACGTCGTCCGGCACGTTTCTGGTAGAGTTGCACAACGCCCTGGCGGCGCTGTGCGAGAAAATCACCGGTGCCCTCGTCGTCTGCAGGGCCGCCCTCATCGTTCTTGTCGAGACATGTGAGAGGTCGACCAACATGCCCAGCCTGTTCAATTCCCTGACAACTGCCTGAAGAATAATGAAACGCGTTAAATCTTCCTTTATCTCCGTGGCGGTGTCACGCGGTCATTCCGCGGGAAAACCAGACGGATCGCGCGGGGCCCGAACTGCGCGCGAAAATCGCTATGTTTCTAGTTAATATATCGATGTATAGGTACTATGCGTATCGATATTTTATGCTCTCTTCCGCACATCCCCAACATCGCATCTACCGTGGAAGGTGACATCGATAAAAATAAGACGGATAGATCGGGTGAAAAAGTCAGTCCGTATTTTCTCAGACTGCCGATGCCGGGATCCATTCATTATCGCCTTTTCCGTTGATCGGCCGTCCCCGCGCCGACGTTCATATCGAAAAATAGTCGGTAACAAAAGCAAGGTATATCGAAGCTATCCGAGTATCGTAAGCATCCCCAGGTCCAAGATGATCGAACTGTGGAATGTCGGACGGGGGGTTCAGGCGGATCTGCGACGAGGTACCTCCATTTCGGCGCAAAAACGCGCGGAAAGAATCGTACGGGAAGGGCGAGAGAAAAATAGCACGAGAAACGAAGGAAACGCCGGCGTTTCGGTCAGCGAACATTAGTCGGGAACGCAAGCAACCGCCCATTCCATCATGCGATAGCGGGAAAAAGCTTCGACGTATTGGCGGTAGGTCAATGCGCGGCGGGGCTTTTCGTGTACGTGAGCTTAGAGTACGCGTGACCCTTTTCTTCGAGATAAACATCAATCTTCATTTGAACTGTTTATTTCGAAAATGAGGCGAACCCGAGACGTTCCGGTGTGCGGTTTCCACCCCCTTCCCCGAGAGAGAAATTAGTAGCGAAAATATCGCTCGGACGCTGCGTGAATTACATGAAATTACTCAAGGGTAAACGAGAAAGTTATCGCGATTTCCGATTCGCCGACGTTCCGCAACTTCACTTACGTCGCTTATGAAATTAACGACTCGTTTAATTAACTTAGCACGGAGTCGTTGAAAATAACGGTAAGTCGAGAGCGGTCGTAGAAAAATTGATCACCATCCTTCGTTACACGGTGTATTTTCCCCGTTCTCTGCTTTAATTAGAATTAATATCTCGCCAATTATCGGGAGGGAAACGAATGCCGGGTGACCACGGGGAAAGCTATTAGTAACAATCCGCCAAATAAAATCGAATATTCATAGGGACGATGATTTTCTCGCGCGTTGACATATGAATGCTGTTATTTGATATTTAATCGTTAACTTTTCCGAGAAACTACCACTTGGAACGTTACATTGTGCGATTTCCAACAAAAGTCGCCAGCGAATTTCAATAAAGATAGCTCTGAAGACGCGAGCGGAAAAGGAAACGACGGGAGATGGGTGGAAGAACGAATCACAATGGTCTCGTTTTTCCAGCTCATCCCTTTAGCGTGAGGATGCAGTTCGCTTTTCTCGGCGTGTTCGCGCGCGATTTCATCCGAACGACGCGCGAGTCTCGTACGTCGATGGCAGAAGCATGCCGTATTGTTTTTACGGGATAGAAGCTCTCTCCCTTTCTGATGCGCATTGTTTTGGCGAGGTGCATAATTGCGCGGCGCAGGACCGATGTCTCGATTTCTTATTAGCGGTATTAACAACAACGCGACACGCGCAAAACCGACGTCGCGTCGCTCGCACGTGGAACACGCTGAAAACACGCGAGTGAAGTCGTCGACATTTGGGATTTGCAAATAAAAGAGATATTTTCTCACACGAGCTCTCTACACGATGAAAAATTAATGTCAATTCAAGATTTATATTATCATATTTAAACAAGGATGTATAATTATGCTTTGTCGTCTTGTCCGGATGGAATTCCGTTGTGTGTTATTTATCAACATATTCATCTTGTGTTAAATTAACACAAAAATTTGAGCGCACCATTTGGGACATATGAAATGTGTCAAATTTAAAATCAATTCAACATTTTTTATTGTATATATGAGAATATGAGTTTTGATATCACGCTAATTTTTCTCAGCTATTTATTATTTATTAATTATGCGCGATGAAACGCGCAAACATTTTTTTTTTTCAATTTCTAACGATGACGAATATGAATTAATGTAATGGATGTAATTTTGATAGAAGTTACAGCTCGATGTCACGTAATATCGGGAAGCGGCGGTGTTGTTACCGCCAGGCGAATGAGAATATCGCAAATTTGATATCGCGCGTTCGATCCTTGGGAAAATCGAGGGAAGAGAGACCGCTTCCACGGCCGTCCTATTCCGTCCCGCGGCAAAACGCCGAATTTTCGCGTGTAATCCGATGCCTGTTGCTGGGTATCGAATGCGGCGAGAGACTAGGCGAAACTAATCGTCACATCCAAAAGCCGCAATAAAATCAAGCCCATGTTGTGACCGTGACAAATACAACGGCCGCTAGCCGTCACCATAATTCCACGATGTAGCACCGCGTCGCGTTAACGTGATGACTCAAAATACGCGTGTACATGCGTGCATTCGTGCGTGCGTGTGTGTTGGATGCACATTAGTGTCGCACGCGCGTACTCGCGCACCTGGTAAACAGCGCCGGAAAATATGGGTCGCTCAATAGAAATAACAGCCCAAAGGAACGAGAGTAAAGGGCAAAAACGTTCGTCGAATTGCACACATACACGCGCACGAACGTGCACGCAGACACAGTGCACATAATGCAGCGGGCATACTCGTTTCGACGGCGTGTATCCCGTCCATTGCGGGAAATGCACATCGGTATTTACAACGACGGGACGTTACGCGCTGAAAGGTTGTGTGGGAGATACGAGCGCGGGGAATTTTCAGATAATTCCGTTTATCTTTTGGAACGAGCCACGCGGCGTCGTGGCGCTCCTTTGAAACGACAGGCGAAATATCGCAATTCGTTCGTCGACGGGGCGCCCAGCACTATCGGATGTTCTCGATACGCTTGAATTTCGATATTTATATATCGGGCTAGATGATGGTGATGGTAGTCGTTCGCCTCGATTCTCCGCTCGATGATTAACTCTCGTCTAACAAGGCTCATGCGGTCACACCTTCCACAAGGTGGATCGGGACCGACCGGTAGAAGCATTTTGCAGTTTTTCCAATCAATTTTCTCGTCTATGCAATTTTTATTGTCACAATAAGTTATAAAATATTTTAAAGTAAATAAAATATCTCACGAAATGTGTTAAATATCTTGAATATAAAATATATTGTAATATTTATTTTTGCAGAAAAATGTTAAAAAACACATTGGGTATTCAACCCGTTAGTTTTCTTTATGAAGAAACAATATAATAATATAAATATATACTAAAATAATATGTAAAGGGAAATAGAAATTTTGTTGGACAAAAATTTTATTAAACAACGATAAGAGGACTAGAGAGAGAGAGAGAGAGAATTATCTGTTTTTTCCTTTTAATTGGTCAAAAAATAATTAAAAGTTATTTTCATTATTATTTAATTTTTTTCATTGAATTTAATTGTTAATTTATGACAAATAATTGGTCAGAAAATAATAAAATAAAATAATAAAATAAAATAGAAAAATAATCAAGAAGTGACATTAATATTTAATTAATAATAAGGTAGGTCAGACTCGGTCGAGAGAGGAAGCCGGATTGGAGAATTAATATAATCTCACTTATTTTACATCAGCCGTTGCGGGAAAATGGGCTTGAAAGATTCACGAAACCACGACACGCTACGTTTCATTAGCGCGCATAGAAGCATCAGAATACAGCTCTGGTTGGATCCGACCCAACCTTGTTAGACGATGGTTAACTTTCTCCCGCGCGTTAAACTCACGCGAGACGCGTGAGCGCATTATTGCGCGAGGGGAGAAGGATTTAATAGGCGAAAAATTCCGCGCCGCCGGAATGTATCAATTTGACTCAACGCGCGACCGACGAACCGTCGCTGACAAACCGCGGAGCATTTAGTGTCGCGCGTAGAATTCCTCTCCCCTGGAAAACCTGTCATTTATTAATGTGAGATTTAGCTGCTGCAAGGGGCGCGAGATAACGGAGGTGGCTCGTTTGATTTACGTTCTCACGCGCTTCCCCCGTGTTTCACCTTCACCTCCTCCCTGTACCTCCTGTTAAGCTTCACCTTTTATCCCCTCTTTCCTCTTCCCTCTCCCCCCCCCCTCTCTCTCTCTTTTTTCATCAGGAACCGCCGCTACCGCGAGACTACGAATTTCGACAAAAAACTCGACCGACGCGAAGCGATCCGCGACGCGGGGATGCGGATTCCTTTCTTTCGGTTTTTCGGGCGCGGATTTCGGGATTCGCGCGACGCCAGAACGGCAGAAATTCGCCACGGCGGGATCGCCGAACCCGCGTTAACGCCCGGAATCCCTCGACGAATTCCGCGCGGAAGTGGGTCGAGATATAATTTTATGAACGCGCAGCAGCGCGCGAGCGACGGGGAGTGATAAACGGAATGTAGGTCGGGCGCGATCGGTCGCGCGTTCGTTGACGATCATTTCCCCGGTTACGTTGTGAAAAATAATGCGAGCAATCGAGAGAGAAAGAGACGCGGTGGGTGCCGCGATCTAAATCCCGCCATGTAAAAACTGTGGACGATTCTCCGATATAAATATGTGCGTCGCGCGATATCCCGTTCATTTAGGTATCTCCGAAGTGTAAAAGCCGCCGGGAAATTGATTGGCGCGCGAGGTTCAGGCGGAAATTAGGATTATTATTTAGGTTATTAGGCGGAAATTAGGATTATTATTTAATTAGAGCGTATCGATTTACGTAACGACCATTAATCGTGCAATCGGTTGCTTACACGCCGCTGCCGGTTTTTAAACCCCTCGGCTTTGAAAAGGAAAATCGCGCGGAATAAACCACGTCGTGGATAAACCATGGAAATCGCTTTCAATTAGCTCGCGAGCATTGCTCGTAATTTAACAGTGTATTATCGTGCGCAAACATTCAGCTATTGCATCTGTGTGCAAATTTCGGTCGGTGGTTTGTTCTCCGCGGGCGTCCCCGTTCTGACGATATTGTTATTCCCCTCTCAGGAAGAGTGCCGTTATTATTCAAGAAAAAGGGAGGAAAAGAAATGAAAGCGGCAATTTAACGCAATAGTCTCATTAAAACGTACGTGGCTCACGGCGAAATTGTACGAAACTGTCGCGGTCGTTTCGTGGAATAATGCCGGGCCGCGTCTTGGCCGGAAGTTTGCGGTATTATTTTTCCAGAATGTCGCGTAACTCCGTCCGCGACTGTCCGCGCTGTAAAACGGAAGCTCTCTCCCTCGCGCGCGCTCCCGCGCGTATGTACACGCGGGCATTTTTTTGCGAACGCGATATTTCCCCGAGTTCACTCCGAAAAAGGTAAATCCGCAGCGAGCGTACAATGTAAATGTTGACTCACTTTTCCAAATTCGCTGAGGCCCGGCGTGGAGTCCTGAGTGTTGTTCGTCTCGCCAACAGAACAGACTGCCCTGCCAAGAAAATGTCTGTTAGAACGTCGGTTTGCGTCTCTCGCGCGAAAATTCAACGGCGCGCCTCGCCGCCACTCCTTTCGGGCGAACTTCGAGCTGAGCCCGCGAGCGAATAATATTTTCTAAAGTATCAGGTTAGCCCATAAGCTCATGCATATTCACTCTACAGGTATGTTTGCCGCGGGCAATTTTTGCGGCTGAGATGAAATAAAAATAATTGTCAGTGAGATTGCAACGAGTCGCGAGGGAGAAAAAGGACCCTGTTGCTTTAAAAGAAAACGATTGTGTCTCGTTGAAATTCGCTTTATCTCTTTGTTAAAATTTCCGCAAGCTAAAAGAATATAGTCATTAACGGGCAAATGAGTGTCGAATGCTGATATATGAGCGATCAATTTAAACGCCAAAATTAATTTAAGATAGTAATAGCATAAAATGCCTTTTTTTTTTCTTAAGAATTCGTTGAAACTTGCACTATGCAAGAATTAAATATGACTTAATTATTGTTGCGATTAGAACAAGATTGACCGTTTGGAAACTGAGATATTCGCAACCTAAATAGAACAAAAAGTCGTATAAAAGTCAAGATGATGTCAATATTATTTTGACATTATTTTAACGTCATCTTGACTTTTACATAACTTTTTGTTCTATTTCAGAACTGAAAATGACACTTATCATACGTGTTTCTTGAGATCAATGTCTTAATTTTAACTTTTATTTTTAATTTATTCTAAACCACTTTTATGATTTTAATGAAATATTACTGTGATATTAAGAACTAATATAGGGACTATAAAATTTCCACCGGCCGACATCTCCATGACTCCGATCCTCGCCAAGCGTTGCGTACCTACGCGTTTACGTTCGCCGAAGAAACTGTTATTGAGACGTTTTCTCGTGGACAGATATATCTCATGTTATTTTTATATTTTTACACACTGTTGAATGATGAAACACACATGAGGCAAGTGGTGCTATGAGAGGTGTGAAGGTTAAAAAACAACTGAGAGACGATCAGAGGGAGGTGCGAAAGGTATCAGGAATCCGATAATTCTCCACGGTCGATTCTCGCCTCCCAGACGAGAAGGTGGAAACGCTAGAGATGATTCGGCATCGTCATCTAGAACTGTGGAAAATTCAATCGAACCGACAATCTCGCATCCCCAGGGATGAAAGGGATGGGAGGAAGGAAGGAAGAGTGAGAGGGAGGGGAGGCGCACCACCGAGACGGAACGAGACGAAGAGAGACGCGAGAATAGGGTCAGAGGCTGACATTAAGCCCCGGGAACACGTCCGAAAGCAATTCGGATATTGTCCCAATAAAAGCGCGCTTTCCTCATGGAAACCGGAAATCTCAGGCCGCAGAAATGAAACCACATTTTTACGACGTTTTATTCGGACGCTCTCCGGATGTTGTAGGCCGGCTGGATTTTCGTAGGCGCGATGTTTCTCGTTTCTGGATATCCAAAATCGTTCGTTCGTTGCTTTCGTTATTCGAACAATTGCAGTTATACGCACTTAAAGTTCGTTAAAAAGAATATCGCTTTTTTCGAAAGATATTTAACGCGTCGGGAAATAAAATTGTGCGCGAATAATATCGTGATGGAAAAAGAAAGAAAGAGGGAAAGAGTACAATCGGTCACAGGACGTTTGCAACCGTTTCTTTTGACATGTTTGAGAACATACAGAAATTCCTACATGCGCAGTAGATGGTCAGACAGCTATCAAAATTACATATACGTTTGTAATTTTTACATACGTGTGTAATTTTGACAGCTGTCTGACCAACCACTACGCATGTTCGTGGATAGGTGTAGTAAAGAATATTTACACGAAAACAAATGTGATTGCATTAACCAGAAAGAGAACAGCCAGATACGTTCTGGTTGAAGAAGACAGAATTTCTGGTTCCTATGACATAAACGTGGTCTTTATAAATTCCTTCAACCAAAATGCGTCCGGTTGTTCCTTTTATGACCGATCTTATGGTACAACCAAACTTTTTTTCTGCGTTGGAATTGATCTGAGAGAGACGATACGCAAGAGTGAGTACTATTGTTGCAACGTGAATAACAATGTTATTGGAGCACTTGATTAGTTCGGGATGTTGTTCAAAGGGCACAGTTAGAGATCTTCTCAACGTCACTTCGGCGCGTCACTCGGCTGTGCCGAGAGGAGATTACCTTCCGCGTCCATCGTACGCGTCGTAAGACGACGTCGGCGTAAATTAAGGGGGGTCAGAAGAGAAAAATATGTACTATCTGAGGAGAGATTTGCACGTGGGCCCGACGTGACTCCGATCCTTATTTACTGCGGTAAGCGCGTCGCGCCGTCGGGGGAGACATAAAGCAGCCGGAGATCGGAAAAGCAAGGCGAAAACCAGGTCGATGCCCATTGTCGTATAATACTTTGACCTTAAAACGACGTTAGAGTTAGTGATATCGTTGGCCATCGTCGTAATTTACATCCCCGGCGGCTAGGGGTGGGCGTCTAGCGACGCTCTTCGAGGTGTAAACCTTATTTCGTACGACGGGACGTCGGTGAGATTATTATTGCGGTTTCGACGGCATGATTCCTCCCGCTCGTAAATGATAGCAGCAGCGCGCCGGCTGACGGATATTCGCGACGATCGATGCGCGCGCGTTCCTGCCTCGCCGTTCCCCGAAGTTCAGCTCGTAAAAGAAGTACCACGAGGGCCGGGGGTTGAAAGTATAAAGAAGAAATCGCGATGCGCTGGAAAATACACTTTCCGATCCATCGTCGGCGACGGCGGCGGCCATCTCTCTCGATAACTCCGGCGCAATCTAATGATCGCTTCCGAGCTTTGCAAAGAAGAACCACGCGAACAGCGAACTTCCGAACTTTCGGCTATTTTCAGCGCTGCCGTTATTAGGCGGAAAAGAAACGGGGGAAAATCGTAATAATAATAATAATAAGCTCGATGGAGTTGGAGAAGTTAAAAGAAACTAGAGCAGAGATGGTTTTCGCTGACTCGCGAGTGAAATTTTCTCTCGACGAGAAGGATCCGTAAGCAGCCGCGGTCTCGCGCGATAATTAAGCGAATTCACATGGGAGTCGCGAAATATCAACGCATCGTGCTCGTCGACAGTAGTTCTGTTTTATGACTCGCGCACAGTTCGCGAATAACGTATCTCGCATTTTCCGCGAGAACGCAGCCGCGCACGCCTCTCCGGATCGAAGGGACGCATAAAAGAGGCGACTTTATTTACAACTCCGCTCGGTACTTGGCATCAGGGGATGCATAAACCTCGGGTTAAGGATCGATGTCCCGGAGAAGGAAACGCGTTTCTGTCCCGACATTGTTTCCCTCGCTCGACTCTATTCCAAGCCGGAAAAGCGAGCAAGTGCGTGTAATAACGACTGTGCGACTCGCACGGTTTCGAGGTCCGACCGTCCCAAGGGGATCGCCATGTGTTTCGAAGATCTCGCATGAATATTAAAAATCAGTGTTTTTAAGGATATATTGGCCGTTAGTTTTTAAGGATATACTGGCCGTATTTTTAATGGCGAATCAAGGGGCCACTCGTAAATTTAGTATTTATCAAGCAAAAGTCCTATACATTTATTTCACTGTCTAAATAATAAATGTTAATTTGAAACCAAGTCGAGGTATATAAACACACGGGAAAAAAGGAATGAGCTGTGTTCGTATAAAACAATTGAATTTAGTTACCAGGCCTAGCTACAGGAACAAAATGAATTAATTAAATTTCAGTTGTATTATCTTCTTCTTTTAGTGCCATACTTGTGTACAAGCGTAGGTGACGTTTTTAGAGATATTATGCTAGGCAAGGATACTTTCGGTGGTTTGCCATTGCCTTCCGAGAGGAGATGCGAGCGTAAATATTTTGGCTTCTGCCGGGATCGAACCCGGGACCGTTGTGGCATAGTAGACCAGTGCGCTACCTACTATGCCATGCTCGCTCTCAGTTATATCATATGGATATCTAATTTTTACTTATGAGAGCTAGCTTTTAGCATTAATAACGAGCCAGATAATATTTCAATGTATTTCAATATATTTCAATGCAGGTTTCATTGCATTCGTATCACAAACTCATTTCACCTTACAACTTCCCTTAAAGTGGAATAACTTTTGATCCAGGCTTTCTATTATTGTCAAACTTTTGACGTCATTTTTAAATGCAATATAGATCAATTTGTAATTTTTTTCATAATTTTTTTTCTCATTATTTTGACTTGTGAGCAATATATCTTTAAAGACTTAGAGTTGTCGAAAGAGTTCCTCGACGTGGACAGACGATACAGTAAAGTCAGACGGATAACATCAGACAAAATTCGACGGGGTTCGAAAGCAAAGTCGTAACGATTCGTAGAAAATGTCTCTATAGTGACGGATTAAGGAAACGAGATTGAGAAAGTTGACTCCTAGACAATGCAATGAGTCTTTGATAAGAGACGCTATTCCTCCTCCCTTCCTCGGCGAAACAAAGCTCCTCTCGCTGTAAGTTTCTCTTTTCCGAGCGCGGTAGGAAATAAGCAGCGGCTTTGGGGTGCTTTCGAAATTACTGAAAAGAACTTCCTACCATCC